ATCTCCAGAAAAAACAAAAACCAACCAAACAGACCCAAAACGGTGTGTGCAGTCTAACCGGCGTGCGTGGGGAGCGTGCTGCCTCCCCGCAGCTCGGCCCTCACCCCCCTTTTGTGTCCCCGCAGCCGTTCATGTCGCCGCGCTACGCCGGAGGTCCCCGGCCCCCCATCAGGATGGGCAACCAGGTACTGCGCTCCCGGGCCGGGTTTCCTGGGGGTGGCTTTTGTCTGGGGTGGGGGGCGAGGGCCACGTGTCCTGCGGATGCTCCTTGGGTGCCGATGGCGAGCGTCACCCGTTTACTTGGTGCTGGCGCATCGAGTGTCACGTAACCGTTTTATTTTGATTTTATTTGGAGGTTGGGGCGTATCAAGGGAGCTAATGGCGGTGGGGCGTGTGCCGCTTGTTTGTCTGTGGTGTTTCCAGCACGGCCGCGCCGCGTGCTCGCTGCCCGGCTGGATTTTCCCCTGCAATCGCAGAAAATTAAAGTGATGGAGATAATCCTGCTGCTGGGTTGACCGAGCGCTTAGATCAGCGGTGGGGTCAAGCGGGGCAGGTCACCGCTGAATTTTTGGGGTTGGGTTTATCCTCTTATCCCAGCTTAAACAAGGGCAGTTTGTTTCTGGCCTTACGGGCAGAGGCTCCCGCCCCACGCGCTGCCGGAACGCGTGGCCTGCGGTTGAGGGATTCATCTCGTTCCCAGCGATGCCGTGCAGATCCGTAGGGTAATGCCTGAACCGGAGGTGACTTGTCATGAAAGGGAAATTAAAGGAAACCTGCAGTTCCTTGGAGTAGCAAAGGTGACTGCGCAAAAATTATCTTGGGAGCTTGTTTTTTGGCTAACAGTGTTATTCTTATATAGCTTTTACCAGCAGAAAGAGCAGGGCAGTCACAGAATCTCAGCATGCTAAGGGTTGGAAGGAACCTCTGTGGGTCATCTAGTCCAACCCCCCTGCCGAAGCAGGGTCACCTACAGCAGGCTGCACAGGACCTTGTCCAGGCGGGTCTTGAATATCTCCAGAGAAGGAGACTCCCCACCCTCCCTGGGCAGCCTGTTCCAGTGCTCCGTCACCCTCAGAG